AATTTTTCCATCAAATTTTATTGTATTACAATCTACGTTTTCCAATCTCTTCTCAATTTTCTCTGTTACTTCTAATATTTTTTGAATTTCAAACATAATCTTTTACAATGTTAAGGTTTCTTTTTGATGTTGTGCCATTCTTCCAACTGGTAAACACTGCCACTCTAGCATTCAAAACTTTTTATTAGATTTGACACAAGTTCATTTATAATCTTTCAAAACAAGGCTTTGTTTTCACTTCTCTCCAGCTGCCAATGAAGCTCCCAAAGAGCACCTGTAAAAACAACCCATGCTCTTCTCCTTATCTCTCTCTATAAAGACATTGAAGAACCTTGAAGTACAAAGTCAAAATGATCAAAGCGAAAGAGGAAAGGGCAATGTTTCCAGGACTCAAGCCTCCAACCTCCAAGTGGCAGTGTTGCTTTCTTTCCCTCTGATATTACAACCCTCTTTTAATTCCTTTTATATCTTCTTTATATTCCAGGCTTAAAAAAAACAAAATTCGTAAGTGAAGCAAAATAGAAAAAAAAACCTCATCCAAACTAGTATTATAAAAATAAAGAAAAGGATTTTAATCCATAGGTAAAAAAAAGAAGAAGAAAAACTAATCCGTTCACTTTAAAAAATAGGAAATATTTGCAAACATTCCATCCATCAAAGTAAATTTAAAAAAGGATCATACTGTCCAATGTAGCTTAATTTCGTCACTTATTTTCTTCTGTTTTCAAATTTAATTTAGCTTTAATTTTGTGGGGGGGGGGCAGTCTCTTTTGTAAAAATAAGATTTCCTCACCAGATGGACACACTTTCTCTTTCCGTTTTCCTCCCGTTCCAGAGCTGTCCCAACTTCAGGAGCTTTTGGCTGTGCTTCTGTCGCCGGCAAGAAGAGATTCTCTTGGATCAATCAGGGACTTGCGATGTCCCTGAGATCAACAAGACGTACTCTTCCCTGTCACCATCTCTTCAGGACAGTTTAGGTCCAGCGGCAAAAGTATTGACTGCGATCTCGGAGCTCCGAGATTGCACATCGTACTGTTGCGACGTCAGCTCCTGTCTCACCTTTTTTTACTTTCGTGTCTAAGAAAAATTATACCCCAGTTGAATCGAACACAATTACAATATGGAAAAAACAAAATAGTGCATCAATAGGATAAAAAACCCTCCATTTATGCTTCCAGAATCAAGGCACTCTGGAAAATCCAAGTGGTTATAATACTTTGTAGAAGGTCATCAGTGTTGAGATTCTCCTTGCCCTGGAGATTAAGGGGAGGGGGAGACCCTACAAAGAATACCCACCATATCCTCTACTATGGGATGGGAATCTCAAAGAATATACATACACAGTGATCAGTACTTTGAATTCTTGTTTCTCGCATGTCCTGCTTTTTCTGAATTACATTATGTATCCCTAATATTAGCCATTACAGGGAGTCCTTGAATAAGTAGTTCATTTAGTGACCTACTCATTACTAAATGAGGAGTTGAAAAAAAGATTTTGAACTTGGTCAAGTGCAGCCAGAATCCTACGTGCAGAATCCTTTCCATTGATATATGGAAAGATAAATCAATCTCCACAAAAAGTGATGGAGCAAGAAAAAATGACAAAATTGACTGCTAATTAGATGTGACCCATTGTTTCTACTTGGAAGCAGCTTCTAAGCTTTGTGCCCAAGATAGAAAAAATGATGCTTGATTTTGCTTATTAGACTAATCTATTTTTAGACTTGGCTAATAATTATTGAATATTCAAAAATAAGAGCTGAGACTGTAATTTTATTTTGTATTTTATTGTGCAATAAAAGGTTGAAAGACAGTGTTTTGTTTTCCCTTTATCCTACACTTCTTTCCCATTTTTAGCCTTTTCCACTTCCCTGTTTTCTTTATTTTCATTTTACTTTTCACTATTATAATTTCAATTACATTTATGGAAAAAAAGGAAAGACAAATAGAGTATTCTGTGGAGAGGCTAAAGAATGCAGAGAGGAGCAATAAAGATGATAAGGGCTCTGGAGGCCAAACCATACAAGGAACTCTGTATGCTTAGCTTAACAAAGAGAAGGCTTAGGGGAGACATGACAGTCATCTTCCAATACTTGAAGGCTTCTCATAGGGAAAAGGGCATCGATTTACTCCCTGTAGTCCCTGAGGGCAAATGGTGGAAGTTCATCACAAGGAGATCCAACCAGGCATGAAATGCTCTAATCCTCACTACTGCTTTGGAACCAGGAGCGTGTGCTCACTTCACTCACGTGCGGTCCTTCTGCGGTCCTTCCGCGCATGGGTGGGGGGAGCCTCCCACTGCCGCCACTACTGGTTCACCCGAACTAGGGACAACCTGCAGAATACCACTTCTGGAATAAGGAAGAATTTCCTGACAGTGAGAAGTATTTATCAGTGGAACAGCTTCCCTCCCTGAGTTTTGGGTGCTCCATCACTGCAGAATTCCAATAACAGTTTGGACAACCATTTTTTTCGGACTAGTATAAGGTCCCCTACATTGGGCAGAGAAGACCTCCAAGCACCCTTCCAGCCCTAGGATTCTATGATCTCCACTTCCTGCCTGACCTGTAAGAGTTTGCTGGCTGGTTGCTGAAGCTTCTCTTCTATCTCCTGGATGAGATGGTCAAGAGAGCAGAGTTCCTCCATGTGCTTGGCCAAACCCTCCNAGGCATCGTCTCTGGATAGAATAGCTACGGGGTGGAGAGGAAGCCTTTGATTTCTTGTAATGGCAAACGTTGCCTTAATCTTGGAAAAAAGACCATTGAAAGAGATGCATCCCTTTTCCAATATGTTGAGGTTGAGAAAACATCATTTTCTTTTGTTCAAAAAGATGGAGAAGGCTCTACAGCAGATGGCATTCACATGTAGTCACCCATCCAGATAGAAGCCTAAGCCTTTCCAGCTTAGCAATTGTGACATAGCATGCTTGCTGCCAGAGAGCTACAGATAAATCTGGGAGAAGAATCTTGCTTTTACCTCTTTCACTCGATTACAATTACAGTTTCACTTTTTCCACTCAGATTGGGGCTTTGCAATCAATTCCCTCTGCTTACCCTTTCAATTCATTACCCCATTTCACTCCACATCACCGCCTCAAACCACCTGCCTTCACCCACATCCAACAATTTCACAACAAAAGCAACAGCCGCCACACCCCCAACCTTCTACCTGCATGCCCAGGAATGACCACTCACACTGCCACTTAAAGTACCTGTCTCTTAGCAAACAAACTGCAGGCACAGCTTGCTGCTGCCCAAACAGAAATCACTGTGTTCTTACCAGATTCACATCTATAAATAATGGGGGAAAGTGGGGTCGGATGGGGTAGAGACTTCGGAAACTTATCAAGGAACCTCTTTCACAGAGCAGGAACAGCTGTGGACAAAGTGTGCCCTCTCGGTCTTACTGGGTGATCTGATGAGAGGGGACCTGGGGGCATCCAGCTATCTGGATTGGTGGGGTGGGCAGATATCCTCAAAGAGAGGTGGATCTGCAACTACCTGGCTCTCTATAATTCATATCCTTAAAAGTGATGAGGAACTGCTTCCTCTCTACCCAGACCCTTTACTCAGAACAGCTTCCATTCTGAAACATCTGTAACACAATCAAACATCCAGACCTGCCTATCCTAGGTTCTTGGAAATGACTTGATAGGTGGAAAAATTGCAAATTCAGACTGAACATGTGGCTGACTATGAGACAAATCAATAGCAAGAAAGTTGAAGAAAGAGACAGAGAGGCTGCAAAGAGATATAGAACGACTGTGGCAAAAGAGAGCAAAGATAATACCGATAGTAATATGCACCTTGGGTGATATCCCAAACAAACTAGAGCATCACTTGAACACTGTGGATATTGATAAAATCACCATCTGTCAAAAAAGCGTTTTACTTGGAACAGTTTACATCCTGCAATGATACTTTTAACGCCATCAAAAACCACCTTCCTCTCCCAGGTCCTTGGGAAAGACTCAATAGGTAGGCAAAACTGCCAAATCCAATCTAAACATCTGGCTGACTGTGTGGCAAACCACAATAAGAAAAAAGCCCTTTCTCTCCAACTACTTATCACTTTCTGCTGCCCAGGTCTGCCCACAGTTCCAAAAAATATTGTTTGACTAAACCAACCAAGTCACAAGATGCTTCCAGACACTGCCTACACCTTCCATGCTGTGTCTTTCTCAACAACCATTATATTTGCTTTCTATCAACCATCAGATGAGTTTATTTATCAATCAAATTTAAAAATGTCCATCTACCTCACAGAGGGACTCTGAGTGTGTCAGACTGTTGGCTGATAGACTTCATGCTCTTTGCATGCTGACACAGATTTTTATGTAGGACATGCTGCTTTTTTCAAACATTTTTCAATTAAAATAGGATTTCCCTTTCTTATACCTCAAAATATTTTTCTAGGTTTAGAGTTTAAATTTTTTTAACTGGATTACTATTAATGTAAAGAATTAAGAATCCCTGAGTTTAAGAAAGGAACAAGAAGGGATATGAAATAAATATTTCTCCAGCACACCAATGTAGAGTTTTGGAACCAAATCCAGAGGCTCATTGCAGAAAAATGAACAGAAAGGTTCCAAAGTATAATAGCTTTCACTTAGGACTTTTTAGTTTTTTTCAAGTGATATCATACACAATTGGTTGTGATAGACCTAAACTATATCATTGGAAATCAATGGAATTAAAATTACTCGTGGGTGGTCCTTGGTGGTAATATCATCAGTGCTAGACTAAACTGGTTAGGCTATTGAAATGTCTGCAAGAAAACAAGCTCAGAGAGCATCACAGACCCATCATTTCAACCCTGAGTTACAAATATTCTCCTTTAATGTTAGTGGTCTTTGAATAAGTTTGGTCTTATTGACCAACAACACTTCCAGGTTTGAATAGGCCAGCCATGACTGTATCCGGCCCCAAGTCACAGCCAGCTGAAGATGAAACTCCCAGTGGAACTATCAAATCCAGAGTTCAAAACTCCCAAACTGTACCACTTTCCTCAGCCCAGACTCAATCCAACCTTTGTCCTGGAAGGCCAGGAGGTTGTCTG